TGTAGACGTCAAGAACTTCATATGGAGAAACATCATCACCAGATTTGGGATTCCGAGAGCGATTGTTGCAGACAATAGAACTTAATTTGACAGTAAGCTAATCAAGAACTTCTGTGCAAAGTTCAAGATCAAGAACTACATTTCAACCCCAAGCTTTCCACAAAGCAATGGACAAGCAAAAGCATCCAACAAAATAATTTTGAATGTAATAAAGAAGAGGCTGCAGGCAGCAAAAGGCAAGTGGATAGACGAATTGCCCAATGTACTCTGGGCATATCGGACTACGCCGAGAAGATCAACAAGAGAATCCCCCTTCGCCATGGCTTATGGCACAGAAGCAGTCATTCCGCTACAGATCAGTATCCCAGGAATCAGAACCCAGGGAGTAGAAAACGGGACTAATGATGTACTCTTAGCTTGAGATCTGGATCTTTTAGAAGAAAGAAGAGAGAAAGCTGTAATACAGCTTGCAGTATACCAGCAGCAACTTGCAAAAGCTTATAACAAGAAGGTCAATCCAAAAGAGTTTCAAGTCAGCGACCTAGTCCTGCGGAAAGTCGTCGGCAATAAGAAGGATCCCAGAGAAGGCAAACTTGGCCCAAATTGGGAAGGACCCTACAGAATCATCTCGGTACTGGGTAATGGGGCATATCAGCTTGAAGATAATTAGGGCAAAGAGTTGCAAAGATCTTAAAACACTTGTAATTTGAAATTTTTCTATCATTAGAATTTCTTTGTTCCTTTGCCATTTGCCGAAGTAAATAAATAAAGATTCAGTTCTCTTTTCAAGATACTTGACATTGTCTCTAGAATACGTGCATAATGAGAACCCAAGTGGAACTCAGGTTCACATTAGAGGACAGAGAGAAGAACAATATGTTTAACACTTGTTGAAATTTTTGGACAATTTACAAGTTAAGTTAAACCGAAATTATTGCTTAACACTTGTTGAAATTTGTGGACAATTTACAAGTCGAAGTTAAGCCGAAATCATTGTTTAACACTTGTTGAAATTTGTGGACAATTTACAAGTTAAGTTAAACCCACTTGTTGAAATTTGTGGACAATTTACAAGTTAAGTTAAACCAAAGTCATTGTTTAACACTTGTTGAAATTTGTAGACAATTTACAAGTTGAGTTAAACCAGTATGATGTTCAACACTTGTTAAGAGTTTACAAGTTAAGATTAAAACCAAGAAGTTTGTCTATCCGAGGTGTGTCACCCCGAGAAGATTGTACAAAGAAGGAAAAGTATGTGAAAGACATGCAGAATATTCTAAGTATAGAATCATGCAAAAGCAATGAAGAGAAGACAAGAGTGCAAGCACTTAGAAAAGAAAAGTTATATTAGCATTCACCGAGAAAATGGCACATCGGCCATACAAAAAGCCTACATTGTTCCAAAAGGTAAAGAAGAAAACAAAATGCAAGTAAGCAAAAGAAAAACATGAGGCTAAGACTCCTCTCCACCAGCTGGTTGAATTTGAAGATCAGATGATTGTTGAGAAGACATCTCAGCAGCATATCCGCCGCAAGCTCGGCGTCAATTTCTGCAAGAGTGTCGTCAAGGCTCTTATCAGCAAGGGTGGCATCGGCTGATTCCTTCTCATAAGCAGCGTCTTTGGGAACCTCATCACCTTCTTCATCCTGAGTCAAGTCTAGGACTTGCTCATTCTGAAGAGGGAACTTGGCCCCATCAGCATCTTTGGATTTTCTTACCAAAGCCTCATCCTCTTCCTCATCACCATCCTCAGACTCAGATTCGCCGACATCTTGACTTGGAGGTTGAGCTGGAGGAAATGGAAGAGGAATGGCATCATCTTTCCTCAATGGTGAGTCCTCTGGGACATTGAGTTTCTTTAGAAGGGACATCCAACCAAGGGTGAAACCCTTGTTGCATGCCTCTTTCACCTGCTGTTCATAGGCATCTGTGACATCGGCCATGCCTTGGGTATACGCCTTCTCGTCGGCGTCTTTTATTTCGGCTTCTTTGGTGGCCAGTGCCTCTTGAAGCTCCTTTTCGGCTTGGACCATTTTTTCCTTGGCTTCTCTCTTCTGAGACTCAGCCACTTTCCTGATAGCCTCAGCAGCCTCAGCTTTCTCTTCGGCATTGGTCTGAGCTTTGATTGCGGCCTCAGCTTGGTCTTCCAGCTTCTTCATTTTTGACTGTAAGCCTTTGTTGGTTTTTTGAAGAGAAGAGAAATCCCTCTTCATATCAACCAGCTTCTGCCAATTTTCGAAAGATTGAACAGAAAAAAAGTGGACATGCTGGATGGCCTGGAGAAAACACAAGGTAAAAGTTATTTCAAAAATTTCTAAGTATGAAAAAGAAAAGGAAAAGTGCCAGATGAAGGACACTTGAACAGAGTATTGAAGCATCAACGCATAGTTTTCGTATTCGCTCAACTCGGCGTTTCGCTCCAGATCGCCTGGTAACAGCAGAGCAGTGCTGAGCGCAACGCCGACATTAATATCCTCAGCACTATCATTTGCCATGACTGGCTTATCCTCCAAAGTAATTTCAGGGGCCCAGGGGGCAGCAGGCTTTTTAGACCCCGAAGTTGTAGCGGAGGATGACTTCGGCTTTTTGGATTTTGGGGATTCTGATGGTTGGGCTTCAGAGCGCCTCTTCCCAGCAGAGGGTTGAGGTTTGTCACTCTCAGCCAACTTTGAGATAGGCAAGGTATCTTCAGACTCAACCTGAGTTACCTTAGCCTTGGGTTGAGCCATCTTTATTCTTTTCGGCTTCGATGGAGGAAGGGTTTATGCTGGTTGATCATCAACGGATGACGAAATGTTGGCCAGAAGATCTTTTGCAACCGGTTTTTGACAACCCATCTCGGCGTAAGAAATTGATCGGCGTTGACGGCGGCGTTGGGATATTGGAACCAAGTATGGAGCTGAAGTTGACAATTGCTCAATTGGATCAGAGGTTGACCCCTGATCTGTCCGAGGTGTGGATGCGGTCTGTGGAGTTGTGGCAGAAGGTGGAAAGAGGCTTTTCTTCTTCCTCTTAGGGACGTCGGGCAAGGCTGACTATAAGTTAGGATAAAGTTGAGGAGTAGAGGCGTCTTTCGTTTGTGAAGTGGCAAGTTCAGAAGTTTTTTCAAATCCTTGCTGGGGTAAAAAGATTGGCGAAAATTCTTGGGTGGCTAAAAAAGAACTGCAAAGATAAAAACAACACAGACATTAGAACAAGAATATTGAAAACTCTATGCAAGAAGATAAAAAGAAACTTATGAAGGGTGGCCCTTACCAGCTCTTTCCCCCAAAACAATTCGGCTTAAAGGATAAAGATGGAGTCGTCGTTTGGCTGAAACTCTCAATTGCCCGAGACAATGAAGTAATCGTCTTCAGCTCCCTTGTTGGAGTCTGGGAGGTCGGCTATGATTTTATATTCGGTGGATCTCAGCTTAAGGTAATAGACATAGTCCATGTCTTTTCTAAGACGACACATAGTATAACAGTATTGGAAGTCGGCAAGTGTAATCCTGACATTCTCTTGTTTAACTAAAGCTATGGTACCAGTAATAACCCGGTAAGAATTGATGGCGAGTTACATTGGGTTCAACTTATAGAAGTGAAGGATTTGACGAAAAAAAGGTTCAAGTGGAAACCGAAGTCCACACTCAATAAAGGCAACTACAGGGAAGGGCATGGAGTGATCAGTAGACATGATGGAGTCATCATCCCCAGCCAACCTCAGATTGACATCAGCTGGGATTTCAAACTCTTGCCTAAAAAAGTCTAGCTTAGAAGGGGTGCCTACCCGATGTTTCCACATACCCATGATATCAGGATAACTAAAGGTATTAGATTTCAGAAAGAAGATGTATCAAAAAAAGGGTTATTGGGACCTCGGCAAAAACCTAGGTTTGAGCTGGTACAGAAATTTGTAAGGGATGTTTCAGTTTTGCCCTAAATTATGGGTTCTACAAACAAATCCCAAACCTAAAACTACGGAGATGAAGATCAAAGGCACAGATCTAGAAAAGACACAAAAAACAGAAAGCAAGAACAAAGTTTCAGAATCAAGAACAGAGATGGTCTATCAAAGAGCATAAAGAATATAAGAAATATAGGGCCAAGATCAGTGGCAAAAATACAAGGAAGTGGTGAAACAGTGGGTGTGTTCAAGATATGGACAAGGGCCAAATCATGGAATAAACGCATTCAGATTCACAAATTGAACATTCGAATAAAGCAGTACTAACAAGAAGTTCCAAAAAAATAAATCAAGAACTGAAATAAGAAGGAACAGTTACTTACCAGAAAAAATAAAGCCGGTGCAAGGATCGCCGAAGTCAGACGATGGTTACAGAAGTAACAGGACAGCGGAAGCTTCACCGGAAAGAAGAAAGAGGGCAGTTGCAGAGCTTGAGGATTGGAACAATGGAAGAAATGAGAAAAGCCAGAGAGAGAAAAAATTTTCCAGAAACGAGAATAAAATGAAAAGGAAAATTCGAAGAGGTGTTTTGTTAAAAATGAAAACGGCAGCAAAAAGTAATCAATACGCCTGGAAGAATGTATGCGTCAGACGGCGGACGTGAGAAAGAAACGGCTTACGGGCACATCACAGGTACGAACCAGTAAGAAAGAAACGCGTGGCTAAAAATGGTTGAATTATGGTTATGACAGCTCATACGCGTGAAAGGGTTCTTAAAGTTCTTGTCCTTCAGCAAAGACATGTTGGCCAAAATAATGATCTCGGCTGAGATACTGAAAACCGACGTACTGAGAAAACGGAGTGATATAGGTTCTATCACCTCAGAATACCGAGATAATAGAACCTAGGGGGCAGTTGTGGGGATATATTTTTGAGTACCGACATGTGGCAAGATGACGCCGACGTGTCAGCCGAGGTGCCACGTGTCAGGGTCATGACGTTGAGGTGATCTCGGGTAAGCCGAGGTTATCTCCGAAGATATCGGAATCCGAGATAATCGAATAAAAGATAAGGGACAAGAGTCCTAGAATAAAGAGGAGACTTAGCCAAGATAAGGATAAATCTCTTAGGGAGTTTATCTTTATCTCTTGAGGAGTCCAAAGTAAGTACTGAACAGGAATCCATAGAAGTCAGGCTTATAATGGGATTTGGATTGAGGTAACTATAAAAGAGAGGCACCCCCATGGGTCTAAGGTACGCAATTTTATACTTTGAGCATTGAGTCTAACATTATTGATTATCTTTGAGAGATATACTGACTTGATCGTCGGAGTGCCCCCGGGTGGACAAACCACCGCCGGAAGCTTCTCTTTCTGTTGCAGGTTAGCCAAGTGTCATCTATTCTGCCAGTGTTCTCCAGCTGAATATTGAGTCAGGCAGTGTGGTCAGAAAATCACCCACACACTTCACATGATATAAAATCTATATATTATATGAAATATTTAATAATTTATTTGAGATTTCAAACATTTCACTTAATTATGTGAAAAATGGTGGTGAGTCCACTATAATCAAATCAAAGTGTATCAGCCATCTTTGCTACTCAAAGTGACGTTTGATTAGCCCCGTTTGATAGGATTGTTCGCGGTTCGGATTTAAACAGTTTGTGGATCGATTTGGACCAGCCTGCATTTATGCGGTTTGAAAAAAAGACAACTCACAACCGCCCGCAATGCGGTTTGCGGTTTGTGCGGATAGGATTTGCGGATGTGCGGGCGGTTTGCGAATTAGACTTTTTTCTTCAAAAATTTATTTTTGAGCCTTATTTTTTTTCCCATTTTATAAATATTTATTTTGGGCCTTTTTCTCCCCATTTTTTAAAATGCTCCAACATTAATTATTAATGAATTAAAACTTATAAAATTAAAAACACAACAAAATCAATTCGTAATACAAACAAATCATTCAAAATCTTAAATCAAATAATAAATTAACACAAAGCACATATTTCAAATCCTAAACTATAACTACATATTCATTAAGGAATTTAAAATTCCAAATCGCACTTCATCCGGGACAAGTTTAATTATGTAACAATAATAATATGACCAGTATTTATTCAGTTTCAGTTGATATAATATTATTAGCAAATGTAATGCTAGAGTAAGTTTAAAGAATAAAGGGTGTTTTGTTTTGCGCAAAAATACCTAAGTGAGATATAAGAATGAAATCAACAGTTAAGATAAATAAATAAATAAAAGTGCGGGCGGTTTCTTGCGGGTGCGGGTAACATGCCATATTTCAAACTGCATCCGCCCACATTGTGTTTGCAAAACCGCCCATTTGTATGTGGGTTGGACGGGTTGGGCGGTTTTTGCGGATCGGATAAACCGTTGTCCACCCCTACTGTTTGGTATAACTGTTAAAACAGATTATAAATTATGACTTTAATCAGATGTTGTTAATCTGTTTGGTATAACTGTTGGATTATAGACTTAAGTTGCTGAGTGGTGTTTGTTAAATAAGTTATGAAGTAACTTTTTTAATTAATTTTTATTTTTTATTATTCACTACTTATCTACATTTCTCATAAATAATAATAATAATATTCTATAATCCATTTGGGTCTTTTTCTATTTTTAAAAAAAATAAAAAATAAAAAAAAATCTAAAAGTATAACCGTAAATTAACATGTCCACAGTAAAAGTTGATAATCAGAAGCAATGGGTGAGTAGTTTCTCGGAATCAGCTTTTTGACATAATATAAGTTGTTAGAATCAGAAGCTGTTTGAAAGAAATTTAACCAAACAGTCCAAAATAGCTTTTCAAAAGCCTGAAGCTATAAGTTGGCTCAGAAAAGCCCAAACAAACACCGTCATTGTATTTTAAAAATTATAAATACATCTCTTGAGATTTGATTAAAATACAAATCGTCCCTATAGTTTTAAAAATTATATTTTATTTGTTGAGATTTCTAATTTCATAACAAATCGCCCATTTTATTAATAAATTATTAAATCAATTAATAATTTTTAATGATGTTAGAAATATGTTTTAATTAATAATTTAGGTAATTTTATTATTGTATAGGAGAGCAATTGTGAATTTCATTTTTTTAGTTAATTCTGTTAAATAAAAAATTTTAACAATGGGTATTTGTAATTTTTTTCACCACAAAAGGCAATCTATACTTTAGACAAACCTTAAGAGGTGTAATTGTAATTTATCCTATTCTGAATTAATTGCTTTAGTTTATGGCCAAACTATAAGTAATATTGAAGTAATTATTCCATCTTCTAAAAATTTCTTTTGTTAATGTGTGTTGAATTAATACAATAAGTTTAATGAATATATGACTTAAAAAATAAGAAAGTAGTGGATAAATTACTAGTATTGAGCTTGCTTTGGGAAGTGTGTTTTTTTTTTTAACTTTTTTTTCGGATTTATTTTCATTTTTAGTAATTTATTTTTTAATTTTTCAAAAATTTCAAGATTCAACTCAGCAAGATGAATCGAAAAATTATTTTTTTAAGAAAAAAAACTCCAAAAAAAATCTAAAAAAGAAAAAAAAAAAGCAATATTTTTTTACTTATTTTGACTTTTTCAATAT